GTTGTGCCCAATCCTGCCTGCCTCTATCTTGGATGAATCTACAGTAACCCCTTTCCCGGATACCACATGTGTAGACACCCCATTTTTGACCGTCCTCGAGACTTGGACGTCATCGTTTGAACACCCGGTGATTGTGCTCGCTCGTGTTTGTTTTGAGTCCCTGAAGGTCTCGGCTAAGTGCCTTACCTTTGAGCCTCTAATCTTGTTTGTTTTGTGCTTGGTTGTGGACCAAATGCTTGTTTCTTTCCTTCTAGAGGAGAGGGTGACCTGTCGGCCATGACTTGTGCCTGCCGACCACCACTGGTGGCCGGTCAGCTATGTTGATGGCCGGTCGACTGCATTGATGGTCGACGGCCATTTTTTTCAAATATTTTATGTGCTAGTTGTGCGAGTTGTTGAACTCTGAATGCCTCATCCATACACGTGTATGGAGGGATGAATACAAGCCTTTGGCTTGTATTTCTATATAATGGGGGGTCTCTCCCCCATTTGGGGGTTCAGAATTTTTTGGAGCAAAATTTCCCCCCTCTCTCTAGAATTCCCTCTCTCTTCGTATTTTGTGCTTGAAAGTGAATTTTCTCTACACATTTGCAAAAAGACCCTTAGCCAAACACCTTCACCTTGGAGCTGAGGTTCTTGGAGGCCTTGTTTCACTACAAGAAATTGCATTTTTCGCAACGCAACAAAATATGTTGCTAAAAGGGAAAATTCGTTGGCCAAGAGTTTTGCCGACACACAAAGCTACGTTGGCAACCCGTAGGCAAAAGTGAGTTGGCAAAAGTTTTTGCCGACGAGATTATCATTGCATTGGTAAAAGTAATGCCTTTACTGACGAACATAGTCGTCGATAAAAGTCTTCATCCATCGTCGGCAATTTACCTTGCGTCGGTAAACGTCATTCAAATATGATGATTGTGTGGCACTTTTCGCAACGCAAATTTGCATGGGCAAAAGATATACTTTTAGCAACAACATATGCGTCGGCAAAAGTAAACTTTTGGCGACACATTTACGTCGGTAAATGTTGCCATTTGTCGACGATTTGTTTGTCGCTAAAGCTTTACTTTTGGCAACGACAAATTGGCATTGGCAAAAAATACACTTCTACCAACACAATATGGTGGGCAAAAGTAACTTTTAGCGACACATTTACGTCGGTAAATGTTGCTATTTGCCAACGATTTGGTCGTCGATAAAGCTTTAGTTTTGGCAACGACAAATTGGCATTGACAAAAAATACACTTTTAGCAACACAATATGAGTAGGCAAAAATAAACTTTTGGCTACACATTTACCGACAAGTTGTTTGTCGAGAAAGCTTTACTTTTTGGCAATGACAAATTTGTAGCAGCAAAAAAAATTGAAAATCATATATATTTTTTAATAATATTTACATATTTACAAGAGGCATCCCTCAAGCACTACTATTACAAACTAATAACATTGATATTAAATCACCTAAAGTTGATGTGTAGGCAAAAAAACACTGCTGAAAAATATGCTTTTGGAAGCGTTGTATAAAACCTAAAAGGGTAAGCTCACTAAAATACTCAAATACATCCAAATTGTGAACCCATAGTAAAAACAACAGATAACAAAATGAAAACATGAAACTAACAACAACCCAAATTTGCAGCAGACCAGCATCTAGTAGCAACCCGCTTCCCAGCAACATTGCAGCAACAACACACCGGCAGTAGCAACAGCACACCGGCAATAGCTGTAGCAGCAGACCAGCAGAATTAAAGATAAAGAAGCATTATTCTTTGGGAAGAGACTCAAATTAATTAAATGTGGAAATCTATATAATTTCCAAGTGTGCCTTATGAGAGCATATTAGTTATTTATGTGCAACAGTAGATTCTTCCAAGCGATTTTGGGTAGCAACACTTTCAAGTAAATAACTTGTCACAAATTCATGGTTTATTTACTTTGTAGTTCATTTTCACCATATCAGTGTGGTTGAAAAATGATGTGGCAAATATCAGTTACAGGAGTGACAATGCCTCAGATCAATTCCAGCAAATCTCATGACCTGAAGCAAATATCTGTAATCACCTGAAGCAAGCAAGTCCTTCCATCAATCAGAAGGCGAGTTCCAGCAGCTTCTTCCTCTGCATATATAACATGACTATTTCCATCCAACTGTGACAAATTGAAGTGACCAATTAAAATTATGTTATGCACTTATATTGAGATATACAATGCTGAATAAAAGCCAATTCATGATAGTTTAGGTATAAGACCATAACTATAGTGCAACATTAAATTGTGAATCTACAAATTTCAACAGAGTCAGACATCAGAGAATACTGAAGATAATGGCAGAGACAATAGATGCTTGCCTGCATCAATAAACCTCCATCACGTAGAGTATGTATCTCTGCCTCGATCTCTGACTAATTCATCTTCAATCTGTAACATAAGCTCAATCAAGATTTAATGCTAACTAAGTAAATAGAAACAAGAATGGAAGCACACTTTCTCATTTGCTTTCCAGATATGATCCTTTGAAATTCAATACAAATTTTCAGTACATATTGTAATTTAAAGCTCCGGTTTCATTCATCTGAAACAGTTCAAAACTAGGTAGGAACCAAAACCTAGTCATCTTTCAGAAATATATATATATATATATATATATATATATTTTAAAAACAATATATAATAGTCTCGTAGGTCGTTATCAAGGAAAAACAATAAGTATTTCTATCCAGGTGTAAGCTAAGTACGTATTAGAATGTTCATACAAGATGCAGCTAAGCAAAAGTAGGATATCAAGCGCATAGGAATTACCGCAAGGTATTGATTTAAATGTGAACATTCCCTCTACATTAGAGACAGCATGACAGAGAGCTTTTCTTTGCCTAGGGGCATTACCAGAGCCAAGGGCACAGTCCACCCTCGAGATATCATTTGAGTATAAATAAGTGTGAACCCCTAAGATGGGATCTCCCTAAAAAAAATGGAAAAATAGAAGAAAAATAAGAAGAAAGAAAAGATGACACAGATCATTCATTAGTTTCACTCACTTGCACATTACATTGCAAGATACCTTAAACAACAAAATTCAGCAAACCTCAATTCCTATAAATATGTGCACACGTTTATAATAAAGCATGACACTATCAGTCCACCCAAGTTCTTCAGATATCTGCAAGGTCTCCTATCTCCAAACAGTTAAAACCATGTTACAAAACAATAGAGCATGGCATCTGTGGAAAGAAGGTCAAACCAACTACTGTGAGCAGTTTACTCAAAACGGGGTCGTTGAGATTAACTGGCTTTGCTAGCTAAGGAGTGCATTTGTTGAAAATGGAATTGCATCCAAGACTGTATTCCACTACCAAGGTTCACATTTTGCAACGTTGCAACTAAGAAAACAACAAAATTATCAAAAAGCCACATTACTCAATAGCAAAATTGCATTTGTGCAATTAAACATGTCACACTATGCATATATGGTAATAGGAATAGCATAAGGAAATGTGGTGCATTTTCAGCATTTTCATTATTAAAATACCAACAACAACCAAACATAACCAGAAACAGAGAAAGTCACATAGTAATGGAAATAACATCTATTGATACACAAATTAGTACAAGCATGCGGACCAAATCAATCTTGTACTCAGTCGTAATAACGAATACAATGATGTGTGCATAACATCAACTGTTAGCTTGAGTCACATCTCCTAACACACCAAACAAGGAAGATGCAGGATTCAAATCCCAATTGGTAAGTGAGGATCCATCTACTTATCAAGAAACATATATCCGTATCCACATACACACACGGGTGCATACTTATCAAGACTCTTGTTTGTCAATAACCAGAGAAAGAAAACTCCGGTAAATTGAAGGTTAAAGAGACTATAACATATCAAAGATGGGAGTAGCCTGCAATTTATCAACTGAAACGGAACAACAATAAACTGCTACATCCAGAAATACAACTCTGTTTATATGAAACTAATTTTAAATTTGTGAAAAGAAAACATTGAGGCATCCATCACGTACGCCACATGGCAGAAACACAAACACATGCCGATATAAATCCTTGAATTATTTTGTTGATAAATCATTGCAAATTGATGTGGAAAATACTGTGAAAGTATTCTATTTTCACAGTTCGAATGCTATAAAGCTTATAATATTCATTCTTGTTCATGCACACTTGAGTTTATAATTAAATGATAAATGACATAAAATTTATTAAACAAGAAATTTTTAATCAAGTGACACGGAATAAAATACGCAAACCACCAGGGACCTTCAACCTCAAACCCACTTGATTCCCAAAGATTTTATAAAATGAAATAAGTAAGTAAAAATATGAAAGTGAAAAGAATGGCACAGCTTATTTTATAAGAAAGCAATACAAGGAAATTGAATTTTGTGGAACAATTATTAGTGCGAAAAATTACCTGAGCAACTATAGATCCACAAATATCATAGCCAGGGACAAAGAAAATGTCATCAACCAAACCATTCTCAAACCCCAATTCAACCTACAACAAGTAAAATGTAGTTGCAGCTCAAGCAAAAATATATAGGCGTGCACATGTGTGTTTTTTGGTTAGTATGGGGGGAGAGGGCCACACAACAAATAGTAGCAAGGCGAAATAGAAAGCCTTTGAAAAGAAAACAAGCATCTGACCTCTGCAGAACCTCTAACTTCAACATTAAAATCAGGGCGTGAAGCACGTAGTTTTTATTTTCCTAAACCCAAGAACAGCTAATGTTAAGTCAGTGAACCGATGTTCTTGACAATCAATAACAATTAAAAACAAGAAGAGCATCAGGTAAGATTTACAGGAATAACAAGAAAACCAGAATACTGAGAATAAGTTATGGTTTGCTATAAGTCAAATTCATTATTTCCAGAAAACACTTATTAACATTATTTAGAGATGGTTAAATGAGGTTTTCAGATGAAGTTCCAGAACAAGTTTAGAACAGTTGACCCTTTGTTGGGTCACTAGCAAGTGAACTACAGACCTGGGATAATGTTAGTGAACGAGTAACTTCCTGTTGGTGATGTTAAAACAGATGTGACAAGATCACCCGTGGGAGATAAAAGCTCAACATTTACATTTGATGGACCCCCATTTTTATTTAAACAGCTCTCTCCACCAACAGATCCCACAACTCTTCCAGACACGGTGAACCTACAGATATAGGAAATTTAGGAGAGTGATACACAGCACAATATGGAAGCAAATAAATTTAGAAAGAACAATGCTAGAGATGCAAAGACAGTTGACAACATGAATAAAATATCACAGGTTTCATATATATTTAAAATAATAATAATAATAACCTAAAGAAACTGAGCATGCCCGGTGAATCTAAAATTTATATCCTCATTTGCATTGCAACCAGCCTGATCAACAACGACAGGAACCTACAAGAAAATTATTTTTTTTCCTCTCACATTTTAGGTCCAACAGAATTACAAAATGCACTCTGGAGGCAAATAAATTTAGAAAGAACAATGTTAGAGATGCAAAGAGAGTTGACAACATGAATAAAATACCACAGGTTTCATATATATTTAAAATAATAATAATAATAACCTAAAGCAACTGAACATACCTGGTGAATCTAAAATTTATATCCTCATTTGCATTGCAACCAGCCTGATCAACAACGACAGGAACCTACAAGAAAATTATTTTTTTTTCCTCTCACATTTTAGGTCCAATAGAATTACAAAATGCACTCCTACAAAGGACTGGAAACATCCTACATGGGAAACATTACATACTGACAAGTTGACAATTAATATACTTAACTTGATTTGGATCCCATGACCATCCTTCTGGTCCCTTGACTTTAATTACAAAGGAACCCTGTAGAAGAAAGCATTAAAGATGAAAACTATGCAATATGAGGTCAAACAAGCATGTCAAGAAAATAAAATGCCTTGCTGATGGAGTAGGAAATTCTAGCCCTGATTGTGTTGGATTTTTTTTCCAAGCATTATATTTTTTATTTTCATGGGAATAAAACCTCTCTGCATGTGGGGATAAGACCACATACATCCAACCCTTCTTAGACCCTGTAGTGGTGGGAGTCTCATGCACAGTTGTACTAGGCTGTCCTTTTTTTATTGTTATTTTCTTACAAAGATGATAATAAATGGATGAAGTCTGTTGTAGCTAGATGACAAAGCCAGTTTATTAGGTTTCTAAGCCACTTACCAAATTGAGAATCTGAAAATTCATGAATGCCTCCTCCAGACTGCAAACAATCACGAGGTGGTCAGCCACAAGTTTTTGAATTCAAGGATTGTCCCCTATAATATTACAAAGAAAAATATACCTTAACAGAAAAGTATGCCCACACATTTGGCTTGCTTTTAAAACTCAGCTCCTGTAAAAATTCCAATGACTTGGTAAATGTTCATCATGAAACAAACCCCTCCCCCCCCCCAAACCCAAAATAAATAAATAATAATAAAAGAAAGACTTCTAACTATATTTGAAAATCTAACCTGTACTTTCCCACTAGTAGGCTTAAAACCATCATTTGGATCCTCATTTGTTACAAGCATAGCTACACAATGGCCTTTTGGCCTTGTAGATTCTGCCTTGTCAAAGTCAAATGGGGTAGCAAAGATAGAAGTTCTCCTCCAAGCATCGTATCCTCCACCATATTCCATTCCATAAAATCGCCTAATTTGTAGTTAAATAGGCACAGGAAAATAATTGACATAAATAACAAGAAAATTTATAAAGATTTTAAAATAGAATAAAATACGCAAACCACCAGGGACCTTCAACCTCAAACCCACTTGATTCCCAAAGATTTTATAAAATGAAATAAGTAAAAATATGAAAGTGAAAAGAATGGCACAGCTTATTTTATAAGAAAGCAATAAAGGAAATTGCATTTTGTGAAACAATTATTAGTGCAAAAAATTACCTGAGCAACTACAGATCCATGAATATCATAGCCAGGGACAAAGGAAATGTCATCAACCAAACCATTCTCAAACCCCAATTCAACCTGCAACAAGTAAAATGTAGTTGCAGCTCAAGCAAAAATATATAGGCGTGCACATGTGTGTTTTTTGGTGAGTATAGGGGGAGAGAGCCACACAACAAATAACAGCAAGGCGAAATAGAAAGCCTTTGAAAAGAAAACAAGCATCTGACCTCTGCAGAACCTCTAACTTCAACATTAAAATCAGGACGTGAAGCACGTAGTTTGTATTTTCCTAAACCCAAGAACAGCTAATGTTAAGTCAGTGAACCGATGTTCTTGACAATCAATAACAATTAAAAACAAGAAGAGCATCAGGTAAGATTTACAGGAATAACAAGAAAACCAGAATACTGAGAATAAATTATGGTTTGCTATAAGTCAAATTCATTATTTCCAGAAAACACTTATTAACATTATTTAAAGATGGTTAAATGAGGTTTTCAGATGAAGTTCCAGAACAAGTTTAGAACAGCCGACCCTTTGTTGGGTCACTAGCAAGTGAACTACAGACCTGGGATAATGTTAGTGAACGAGTAACTTCTTGTTGGTGATGTTAAAACAGATGTGACAAGATCACCCGTGGGAGATAAAAGCTCAACATTTACATTTGATGGACCCCCATTTTTATTTGAACAGCTCTCTCCACCAATAGATCCCACAACTCTTCCAGACACGGTGAACCTACAGATATAGGAAATTTAGGAGAGTGATACACAGCACAATATGGAAGCAAAAAAATTTAGAAAGAACAATGCTAGAGATGCAAAGAGAGTTGACAACATGAATAAAATACCACAGGTTTCATATATATTTAAAATAATAATAATAATAATAATAATAATAATAATAACCTAAAGCAACTGAGCATACTCGATGAATCTAAAATTTATATCCTCATTTGCATTGCAACCAGCCTGATCAACAACGACAGGAACCTACAAGAAAAATTTTTTTTTTTCCTCTCACATTTTAGGTCCAACAGAATTACAAAATGCACTCCTACAAAGGACTAGAAACATCCTACATGGGAAACATTACATACTGACAAGTTGACAACTAATATACTTAACTTGATCGGGATCCCATGACCATCCTTCTGGTCCCTTGACTTTAATTACAAAGGAACCCCGTAGAAGAAAGCATTAAAGATGAAAACTATGCAATATAAGGAGGTCAAACAAGCATGTCAAGAAAATAAAATGCCTTGCTGATGGAGTAGGAAATTCTAGCCCTGATTGTGTTGGATTTTTTTTCCAAGCATTATATTTTTTTATTTTCATGGGAATAAAACCTCTCTGCATGTGGGGATAAGACCACATACATCCAACCCTTCTTAGACCTTGTAGTGGTGGGAGTCTCATGCACAATTGCACTAGGCTGCCTTTTTTTATTGTTATTTTCTTACAAAGATGATAATAAATGGATGAAGTCTGTTGTAGCCAGATGACATAACCAGTTTATTAGGTTTCTAAGCCACTTACCAAATTGAGAATCTGAAAATTCATGAATGCCTCCTCCAGATTGCAAACAATCACGGGGTGGTCAGCCACAAGTTTTTGAATTCAAGGATTGTTCCCTATAATATTACAAAGAAAAATATACCTTAACAGAAAAGTATGCCCACACATTTGGCTTGCTTTTAAAACTCAGCTCCTGTAAAAATTCCAATGACTTGGTAAATGTTCATCATGAAACAAACCCCCTCCCCCCCACCCCCCCAAACCCAAAATAAATAAATAATAATAAAAGAAAGACTTCTAACTATCTTTGAAAATCTAACTTGTACTTTCCCACTAGTAGGCTTAAAACCATCATCTGGATCCTCATTTGTTACACGCACAGCTACACAATGACCTTTTGGCCTTGTAGATTCTGCCTTGTCAAAGTCAAATGGGGTAGCAAAGACAGAAGTTCTCCTCCAAGCATCGTATCCTTCACCATGTTCCATTCCATAAAATCGCCTAATTTGTAGTTAAATAGGCACAGGAAAATAATTGACATAAATAACAAGAAAATTTATAAAGATTTTAAAATAAAAAACCCAAATCTGGTAAGATTATACCAGGAATTTTCCAGAGAGGAATCCCCATTCCCACTGCAACCTGTGCTGCTGGCAGATTTATTTCAGCTATCCACTCAGTGACAGGGTGTTCTACCTACAGCAGAGCTTGTTGTAAGAAATTTATAATGATCATGGTGAACATACATGATAAATGATTTCCCATGCATTTATAACTCATTTGCAACAGAATAAAATCAAAATTGGACAACCAATTAGCAACCAACCAATGGTCGATTCTGCCATTTATATAGAGTCTAACACTATGGCATAAACATAAGACTCTATATAACTTGCTTTAGTCCATTGAAAAATAAATCTATCAAATGATTAACATTTTCACCTCATCAAATTATGTAATGACAAATGAAAAAATATACCATGCATACACAGTCTAGTCTAAAAATAAAACTATACTAGTTGTTACCTTATGCATGTCCGACAGGCGCAACTTCACCCACATTCCGCAAACCATTCACTTCCTTAGTTGTATACACAGCACACCACTGTAGACGTCCCCGAACGCCCCGGGAGGATGAGTCCCGTTCCCGTTCATTTTGCGGGTCTACTACAGTTCAGGACTCTCAAATTGTCACGGTTTTTAATCTAAACCAAAGAGTCCAAATCTGGCAAATCGTTTTGAGAAACAGATTTTTGAAAAGAAGTGCCAAACATGGACTGCTTTGCCAGATACAGAGTCGCCACCTAAATATTTTTTATGGGGAATTTAGAAAACCCTGACTCGGTGCCAAAGGCCACGTGTCCGTCATCACCAAAGTTGCCTCGGCTCGGGAACTTGGGTACGATCAGGGAAGGTCAGCTATGAGCACCCCCTATCTACCTCACACCCTCTCGCCCGATCCGAAGATCGGCCTCTACTAACCGTGATATCCGTTTTTGAAAACGTTATGTGTTTCTTATTCCATTTATTAGCCTAGAATTACTATGTTATGCGCACAGCAAACAAGTATAGACCAAATCGCCTAAATTGGAACAAAACATTTCATGCTTGTTTTGAAAATGGTTTGCTACTCGCAAGTAGGCTGAAATGCAGATTTTGCCACCCTCGATGGGCTTTAGAAAAGATGGTTTTGCACTATCTAGTGGGCTTAAAACTCACAGTTTAATGCATTATTCCAATTTAGGTAATTGAACCTCCATCCACAGGCATTCAAGCAGTTATATCACATAAGCAACTAGCCTCATGGTAATCATGTTGTTATGGCAACACTCACACGCATGCGGTATGTTAAAGCATAAATGCTTGCCGAGTACTCCAAGCCAAAATAGAAACTAGTTAGTAATCATATGCATGATCCTAGTTTAAGATGGCTAATGCAACACATACGAAATGCAACTAGAAATGGGCTCGGCTATTCTAAACATGGCATGTGAAATGCTACAACTAACACGTATCCAATTTGGAATTGAAACACAATGCAGTTAGCATGATGTGCCGAGCCTGGTGCATGCGAGACAAATGTATGAATGCACGCATGCATAGCATAAGGTATGCTAATTTAATATGCCCTAGTCTACCATCATAAGCGGGTAAATAAAAGAGAAGAAAGACGTGGGGTTGGAAGACATGCACACACGCACCCACACTTATTAAAATTCACCCTCGCTCGGAGGGACCAAAAGAATAATACAAATTAATTAACTACAAGCTAATTAATTATTATAGACCACCTAATTAATTAAGCAAATTAACTAAGCTTAAGAAAGCAGTAAAGGCCTCGGGAGAGGATTCAATGCGCGCGTGCTCGGGTTTGCTCAGAAATCCAACGCCATGCACAAGTTTGCCTCTGCTTTGACTGTTCTGCTTCTCTGAAAATTGCACAACTCCCAAGGTTGCTTCTCTGAGTGTTGTGGAACACTACCGGCTGAGTGAGAACACCACCGGCCATGGAGAATGGTCACCGGCCACAAACTTATGCTCTCGGCCAAATATTCTTTGCCGATCAGCACTCAATACTGCCGGCCGGCCAAATTTTCCTGCTGAATCTGTTTTTGACAGCAGCAGAGGGCAAGACATAGCATGGCAATGCAATGTATGCACCAAACACACTCCTTATCATATTTATGACTCAAAGGAGGATGGGCCTCGATTCTCGGGCCACCAATCATGCATTTCGATGCATGATGGCCCAAGGGACCAAGTATGCATTTTGATTTCAAATGCAATGCACACACACAAACCAAGGCCCAATCCCTATCACTAGATCAAGGGACAAGGTATGCATGCTAGATGGAATGCAACCTAGGCATGCAAACTAGTATGCTATATGAACATGAGGGCAAGCATGCAAACATGAACATGGGGGAAGCATGCAACAAAATGCAATATAGCTAAGCATGTGTCAACAATGCAAGTAATGAGCATGCAAACATTATGCAACCGAAGCATGCAAGCATGTAGCAATGTGATCACATTTGAACAACATGCGAAAGGTGGACTTAGACTAATATGGACAAGCCTCGGCCATGTCTAAATAGGAAGCCAAAATGCTATGGAATGGAGGCAAATACACACACAAACAATGCATGCAAAAATGGCCCAACGCTTAAGCATTAAAGAACATCTTTTAAGCACACTTAAAAGAGGATAATCATGGACAAATGGCATGCACATCAACTCTGAAAATCATGTTAAGATAATACCAAAGCCAACTACCAATGCAAGCAAGGCATGCAACCAAGCCCAAGAACTTAAACTATGGTTAAATGACACATGAAACAAATGACCAAAGTGGACCAAAACAGTCCCAAATCATGTTAAGGCAAGTCCTAAAAATCCACTACATGGCATCTAAATGATCTACACATGGAGGCATGCACAAATGCTTAAACATGGAGCATACAACACAACCTCTTAGAGGCATCAAAGGCAAGGATACAAGCATGTTATAAGGACTGAAATAACATGATAAGTGGTTCCAAACCACTGAAACAATGCAAGTAATGCATGCTAGAGAGGCCAAAGCTTAAGGCATTCAAGAGGGATTGCATGGTATCT